TATCCCAAACCCCTGAATTGAGGAATGCTTCTCATATTTATTTGTGCTCCTTCATACGGCACCTTTGTCTACAGGATTTCATTATCTTTCAGAAACTCCAAAATGCCAGTCCCTCCCCCTCGCAGAAACAACGAGCGAGGCTTCGGCGCAGTCGCCGCCTGCAAGGTTGAGGCGAGGCTCGCAGCATCGGTGATCTAAGTTCATAAAGGAAAGGAACTGCAGCAGCAGCAGCAGCAGCAGCAGCAGCAGTTGAGCAGGATGACTAAGCGACCCGGGGCGGTAGCTGCGGTAGCTGAAATTCCACTACGACGATCGTAGTATAGTAGTACTGGTAGTCGTAGTAGTAGTCGTAGTAGTTAGACGTCGTCTTCGTGGTCGTGGTTGAGGTAGTCCTAGTGCTGGTGCTAGTGGTCGCGGTCGTGATAGCAGAAGCAGTAGTCGCAGTATTGGCGATAATCGTAGCAACAGCACAGCACAGCAGCAGCAGCAGCAGTAGCAGCAGCAGCAGCGGTAGTGTTCTGATGGGGGGGAGTATGAGTTCTGGCGCAGTGTATAGCAGCAGTAAGACCTCGAACTAGCAGCACTGCAAGCGGTTCAACCCACAAAGCTTCAAGTAAAAGCCCTAAGCCACAAGAAAGCAAACTTCAGCCACAAGGCGTCCATGAAGCACTGCACCCGTGGGAATCACATGACGGCCCAATGAAAGTTATGACTGCACCAAAAAAACTAAAACCTAAACTTTAGACCGTACCACAAAAACTAAACCCTGAACCGTACAAAAATAGCAGCAAACCCTCGTCCCTACTCTCCAAACCCGCAAAAAATCAACACCTCAACCCCTGAACCCCACCAAACAACCCACTCCTAACCCCTAAACTCTAAACCTTTCGACCCTAAACCGGTAGATCCAAAACCTGTACCCCCCAAACCCTAAACCAAATCAACCAAGCCCCAAAAACTCGCCCATCTTTCCCCGGAACCTCTGGAAGCTCCCTCACGCGAATGCGCTGGGAGCGTTCCTCCAGATCGACTTCGTTTTTTTTGTTTGTTGTCCCTCTCTCTCTCTACCTGGACCCTATAAACCCTACTTGTTTTAGGGATCCTTGTTATAAATTCCTTGTATAAGTCTTTCAAAAAGTAGGTTATTTGGGGTTAAGGTAAGGGCATTATAGACCCATAAGCACAATAACACAAATCGTCATCATCATCATCGTCGTAACCATAGTGGCATATACTTCTAAACACTGTTATAACCACAGTGATATTGTTCATCATGGCTCACGAGAGCAATTAAATGTCAAGGATCCCGTGGGATTGCGTGTGAAGGTTTGAGTTTAAGGTTTGTATAAGCTCGTTAGACCCGTGACAAAGACAACATTGCTAATAATCCCTCGGGATGTTCATCACAAACAGGAAAATGATCCTAAAGAACACCGAGATTTTGGATGTGCGAACTCTGGGTGGCTGTTATTTCTGATATGCTTTATATAAGGGTTTACGGGAGGTCGGGATTCATTCGGGAATTGGGAGCTGTAGGATTGAACCCGGGGTTTGGGCTGGTGCGCAATACGGTTAGGTTTTAGGGTTTAGGGTTGAGTTTAGGGTTTGGGGTTTAGTTTAGGTTTTATGGTTTAGGGCTTAGTTTAGGGTTTATATAGGGTTTAGGGTTTGGGGTTGCTTCACGGCTCAGGTGTTCAGGGCTTAGTGGCCTCTTGCTTCTAGGACATCTTTCGAGCTAAAATGGGTGCAATGCAGCAAAAAACAGACATTCTGCACTTCTACTGGAAGACTTCGGTGCCATGGTAATGCTGAAGCAGTGCCGCCTAGATCCCAAACTTCAAACCCCGAAGCCCCGGACACTAACTTCCCTAAGCCTGAAACCTATAACACTACAGCCGAAAGCCCGAAATACCCAAAGCTTGGAGCCTTGAGCCCGAAACTTCAGGCCCTAAACTCACAAAACATACCGTTAATATAGGGGCCTTAATAATTAGAATAGGGTTTGGGGGTATATTCTACCATAATTTCACTAAGGAGCCCCCAAAAGAGTCTTGGTAATCATGTAGGCCCCTATACTTAAAGGATCATGGGAATTAGTAA